CTCCTGCTCCGTGCCACAGCTTCGCAAGGCCTCCAGCTTTGGGACCAGGGTGTCGGTCGACTCCGCTAGGACCCAGAAGTCCTGCGGACGACGACGACGACGTGAGTGCCATGGGCCATGGGATCCGGTCGGGTCTTGGCCATGGAAGGATCCTCAGAGTTCTCTGGGATCCTCAGAGTTCTTTGGGATCCTCAGAGTTCTTACAGGAAGGATTCAATCACGATTCAAAGGATACCCCCCTTCCGAACCAAACATCGTTTCAGGCACCTGGAAGGCTGGGAAAGGGGCTGGGCAAGTTCATTTGGACAAAGAGCACCATTTGGACATGGTCCACATGTTCTCTGGCTCCGGAACCCAGGTCTTCACGAACTTCATAAAGAACACTTCCAGCGAGGGCCGGTGCTTCTCCTTCCGGAACATCTCGAGTGCATCGCCTGTGGAGATCCCCAAGAGCTCTGCCAGGCGCTGGAAACGCTCTTCGACCTCGGGAAAGCCGGGCTGGTTCTTGGGTGAAGCTTCTGAATCTAAGTGGGTGGATGGAGCAGCAACTAGGCGTTCCAGGTAGGTAGAAAACCCACGGCAGGTCCTGTTTTGTGCGTAAGTGGGTGCTCGGAAACTCGTCTTTGGCCAAAACCGGACCTGTGTGATGCGCCGAAGCCCATGTCGAATCGTCATTGATGCGCAGGCGCTTTCATGCTTGTTGCTTTTCGGCAAACATGGTGTTATCTTTGCTTCACTAGGCCAACATAGAACGCATCTGGCCCATCCATCACACCGTCACACCCCACATCATCCTCCCCGCAGCTTGACCAAGCAGCCGCAGGTTGACTGCAATTGAGCCCTCAGCCATCACATCAGAAAAAAGAAAAACCGGTGGTACCGGAGGAACGATTCCATCCCTGTTGACTCGTTCGTCCTTTTTGGCCGGACGTTGGTTTCACCGGTGGTTCTACGTCGTGGTTCCACCGGTTCCGTGCTTTGCAGTGACGATGGGTCCTGCACCGTCTTGGAGCGGGTTTTCTCCGGTTTTCGGTCGCCTTCGTTGACCACCGCATGGGGTGAAGAGAAATCGACGACTGGACCATGGTCAAGCATGGTCAACCGACTGGGGAGGTCAAACGGGCTCCGGAACAAAACCCACAGCCATCTAATTAGATACCATGGTCAAAAGGCATCACATGCTGATGTCCCATGTCGCGGGGAAGCGTCACTGGCTTGAAATGTAGCTGCTGTGTTGCCTCTCCTTTTGGAGAACGTGGCACCATGGGATTGTGGGTATGTGGGTTTGAATGGGTTTTACATGCTGCAAACCAAGCTAGAATGATTCTCTTCGACCTGTTGTCCATATCTGCAAAACCTTGCATCTTTCCAAGGTCCTCCCTGCCCCGGAAGAAACTTCACCGGTGGTGACACCACATCCAAAGCCATGCATTCTTCGTCTGTCAGCCCTGGCTGATGCGCCTTGACATGGACTTTCTAGTCTCGGAAACCGCGCCTCTCCCGCTCAAGCAACTGGGACTGCCTTTCAGTTGTTCTCACAACTACTGGAACCACATGAGTATTGGACGCAATCTGTAACTAAGAAGGGATTCAGATCGATCGATCCATCTCAATGACTGGTTGTGCTTCTCATGTCACAGGTCTTGGGCCATGGCCACTTTGCACAAACACATGCGAACGGGGGGCCATAGTATTCCCGGCGCGCGGCGGCCAAAGGGAACTGGTCTTTCCAAGTTTCCTTAGCATGAGACAGCGCGATGCTGGTTTGTACAGAAAGATTCAAGGTTGGATTCCTTTTGGAAGGGCCATCTTCAGGGGAAGTGCGTTCGGGGGTTAGTTTGATGCCAGTTCTTCCATTTGATTCTTCACCTGTGTGATCTTCTCTGCAGTGTGATCTTCTCTCGAAGTCTAGTGGCGTGCAGCTGCAAGCTTCCAACTTCCGACTACGTCTGATAAGGCCACACTCCCTGAAATCACGACATCCTCCACTGGCGGACCTGTTTGGGTCTTGCATGGTCTCCATCTGTGCCAAACTCCGGAACTCGCTGGAGCCAGAACTCATAAGCAGCACGCGAGTTCATGAGGTCCTCTTCCGAGAGGATTCGCTCCTCTACGTTGTAAACGGCCACGTCTTCCTGAGGAACTTCCATGCAGATGTGCCAGTGCAATCTTTAAAACCTGAAAGGTTACAGAATCTTTTAAGAACTTAATAAGCATCAGAATCCCCTGCCACACAAGTCACACCCACTCCATCCGATTCCTCAAGTGAGAGGGCCTTCTCTCCTCTCCGTTCGCTCTTTGTATGATTTTGTTTACAGTAAATGAGTCCTCCTGAAGATCATCGTCAAGTGGGCTTTAGCGAGCGGTTGAAACGCATCTGGTTTCCAGACAAGGGAGTCGAATCTAAAGAGAGCAGATGCACAACGATTTCGAGGCTGGGTGTCTTGCCAGGAACGTGATACTGCACAACCCCGGGAATATACAAGCTGAACTCAAACCAACAGGCTGTGTGAATCTGTTGCATGCAGTGTCAAGCAACGGTTTCAGGATAACTCTGTGGGTGGTTAATCAAAAACTCACCAAGACTTTCCTGGCACACGATAAAATCCTCCAATGCATGTCTTCATAAGGCACACTTTGCTTGTACAAACGAAACACAGGACAACCATATCCATAAACAACCCCGCAAACATCTGATCCGAACAAACAATCTCGAAACCCTTGTCCTTATCTGGTGGGAACACATCAATGGACTCCCTGCGCACCTATGCTTTGCACCTTTTCCCAAGGAAGATCATGGAAGATTCTACTTGGATGTCTTTCCACTAAGCGGCTGCCACCGCCCGAGTGAGGCGAGTGAGGCTGGAAGGTGCAGGCGAACGCAGCGACAGTGCGGCCGGCGCTAGGAAGCATGGAAGCTGCAGCAGCCTGGGTGGTGCAGCTGGGACTTCTGTAGGCTTCCCCCGAACCAAGGCGATTGGAAGAAGCATGGAAGTGGCAATCACTGAGCTTTCTCATTCTTTCAACGTAGCATCTTTCGAGATGGTTTCTTGGAAAGAGCGACGCCTTTTGGGCTTTGTAGGATTCGACTGCGAACCGGAAAAGGGCAATCAGCTTGCAGGGAGGAAGAAAGAACATGAGAAAGAACAAGAAAAATTGTCAAGAGTTCAATCAGGGAGTGGTCTCTGGATGTCTCTGGGTATCTCAAAGCCTCATGGGAGTCCTTTGGGGAATCAAAAGGACAAACAGCTGAAATGACTGGCCCGAAGGCCCAGCTCATGCCATTACAAAAATGGGAACTTTTCACAGCCTCCTCTGGTGACCTCGTGACCTGCAATGCTGTTGCCTTCTCGTTGAGGGCCCGTGAAAGAGCTGCAGGGTGCGATGAATGCTGGACTTGTCATTCGTCCCTCAAAAAGTTCGATGCATGTCAAGAAGCTGGTCAAATAGGCAAAGCAATGGCAAAAAAGAACACAATTGATCTGGTCTTTTCAATCCAATTCAATGAATGATAGCCTCCAAGCCACGAGACGACGCTGCAAATGCCTCACAGAAAGACAGCCCAAGTCGTGGAGGACAGTTCCACCTGCGAATTTAGATACGATACGATTATGTACTACTGTAGTAGCATCTTTGCGCCTTGCAAATTTCTACACATTAGGTGCGAGGCCTAGAAACACGCGTGGCCTTGTGCAGCTGCGAGGCATGTCGAAATGCTGGGCATGGCGGAGCTGCCATGTGACATGACACATTCCGCAATCAAAAGGGGCCATGACATGAACGAAGGATCCCACAATACTACTTTACATCAATCCACCTTTTTTTTCTGGCTCATGTGTTTTGGGAAGGAATCTTTGGGAAGAACCCAGAACTGTTTCGCCTGTTCCCACCCTCTTCCATTTGGATGAATCGAGTATACTGTCCCACCGGTGGATGGCTGGTGTGAACATCCCGATCAGCTGAAAGACCAGGCGGCCAAAAAGCTGCTTTGACCGTACTCTTCTTGGCCTCCCAAGGTGCGGGTCTGGGAGAACCTAGTAGCGTTTTCGGGTATACTATGCTCGGTGGCCATCGCAAGTAGGTTGGAGGCCATCGCTACGAACGTAACAAGAAGCAACATGTTTTGGAACATATATCTTCGAAAACAACTGCGCAAATAAGCCATCGGCATGCGGTCTGCAGCTGGTGGAGTACTTCTTCCAGCGACTATGGGTGAAATCTTTTGCGATGTCTTTCTGGACCAAGTTTGTCCCATGAACATGTGAAGAGGTGTCAGAGCTTGCAGTTTCCAACAACGTGGACATATCAGGGAGGGTACACCAGGTCTACCAGACACACATCCACTTGCTAATGCACTCTGATCTGATGCAACACATGGCTAATCCCTTACAAGGACACGCCTGTGCCGAAGCGCAGCCATCTGCTCACGGCAAATGGCAAAACACTACGGCACACGTGTCCGCGAGGAAGCAAATAATAGTGAACTTGGTAGAAGCGAGCAAACATCATGCAGCGCAATGGAAAGGCTGTATGCACAAATCACTCAGAATTCCAGAAAACCATATATTACAACAGGTGTCTGTCTTTACACGGCTTGTTGGTGTCCAATTTATCCGACTTTGCACCTGCTGAGCCGAAGAATCCTTGCGCAGATCGCAGAATCTTGGGGCCCCCAAGGCCATCTAAATCCAGCAGGTACCAACGTGGCACGCTTCCTTTGGACTTCCAAGCAGGCACCAACCGAGCTGCTTCCGCAGTATCAGTACACACACTTGCGATAAAATCCACCACAAGCGAAGCATGCGCAGGAATTGGTGTTGAGAGGGGGCAACTCACCTAGTATTGATCTTGTCATATGAGACATGTGTAGATCATTATCTGCCAATTGAGTGGAGCAGGTTCCTCACTTTCAAACCACCACTTCCAGGCCGACGATCGAAGAAACCAAACCTGGTTTCGTGAGCGCCCCGCTTCCGGCTCCCCGAATGTGTAACCGCTGCCTCTCAGAGTGTAGCCGCAGAATCAAGACCTTCGCAGTAGGATCAGTTCCAATGTCCCCAATGTGAAAGTCCGATGATGATCTCGGTCTGTGCACGAATCCTTTTTAGGGTGCTTCCGGTTCGTGCTTCCCCCCGTTCGCCAAACATGTAGGGCCACGGAAGCTAACCGTTGTACAGCTTCAAGCTGTGCACAGGTGCAACATCGCCGTGAAAGAACCATACATTACTACACACGATCTTGAGTTCTCACTCTATTTTGAGTTTCCAATCGATGAAGGTCGTTGAGTGCCCTGCAATTGCATCTTGGGTCAAGGCTGTGGTATTCAATTCAACCGTTTGGAACCTACAAGGATGATGTATCATGCAAAGAAGAAAAAACCGGAGGGGGGGACACAGCAGTGAGGGGCTGAGTGTTCTGAGTGCATTTTTGCAAATTCCATTCTTATTCATCGATCCCAGAATAGGGCTCCTCTGTACAGACTGAGCAAGCCAAGGATTTCTTGAAATTGAATGTTCAACAGTGCTGTTATCAGCTACAGGAGCCCGCGGCTTGATCTTTTGTTTTGTTTTTGGCAAACATACTTCTTTATGAGAACAACTTCTCCATCAATAAATCCCTTCCTTATTGAATGTAGGGGCTAAGCGGCCCAGGGAATTCTGAAACTGCTTACTGTAGGTTCACTAGACAGTGGGGGGGGACCGGGCCCTTCCAAATGTATTGAGAAACCACATTGTTGGTGGCGTCAGTTAGACATGCGACAAATCTACCACGTCGTATGCTAAGCTGGCCTGGTTTTTGGTTCGAGCACGATGATCAACTTACGACGCTTGCTGTACTCATCAGCGAAATCAGGAGAGCTTTCCCGCTGGATATGTGCACTGGGGCGTGGCAACATTGAGTATTGGCAAATGCATGCCTCTGGTGCCATCCTTGGTGCACTCACAGATTGTTCATGTTTTTTCCTTCTTTTCTCTATATCATGATCCACTGAGCTTTTTACTGCTTTGATTAACCTAGACATGTGGTCATGTGATGTTGTCTTCAGTCTTGCATTGTGACGGTCGACTGTTCCGCTTTTCCTCGATCGGCCCCGAAGGACGATCTGGGCAGTTTCGGGCGTCACGTGTGCGGCTCGAGGGGTGGAATAGGAGGCTCCCTGGAAGTAAACCTAGCTAAGCAAACTAGTAACTAGATGTAACTAGTCGCGAGTCAACATCTCTGGCACCCGAGAAAACGGAACACAGAGATGAATGACCACATTCTCAAACCCTCAGTCCAAAAGTCCTACACCATTAAGATCCTAGCGATCTGTTGACAACAAGTTGTTCGTAGTTCGTGGTGTTTCTGATGTTTCCCAAACGCCACTCGTCCCTCCATGGCGCACCGTCTGAGCATGAGAGGAGGGCATCAGCTCAGGACTTGCATGGGAAGGCACCTGCACATCCGCCCGTCCGGGCAGTGGAGCCCTTCCGAGCCTTGCCTTACTGTTCTTACTATATCTTACAATCACTCGCTACTAGGGTGGAGGCCATTGCTACTAGGTGGAGGCCTTCGCTATTAGGTTGGAGGCAATCGCTACTTTATGGGTAGTCACCTGATGCGGATTTGAGGATAACAAACAAGGACAGTTTAGGGATTCCCGCAGATTGAACTTTGTTCTGCAAAGGCATGGGGGCACAGGGTCCGGTGCTTTGACACGCGAGGCATAGGGATAGTGCTCAACATCTTTCCAACTTGATCAAACCGTCAATCATCATAGTAGCAACGAAAAGTACTCGCAAGAAAGCAAAGACATTCACCCACCACAAGATCCACAAGTACGATATTGTTATGTATATGTATATATATATATATAATACAGTAGTATATATATATATTATGTAAGGCAACACTTCCTTTTGTCACGCATGGTGGTGGGAGCCCAGCAGGACGTCGTGACTGGGCCGTGAATGTCTTACCACGCCTCAACGACCGGTACCTATAACGACTTGTCCCTTCATCCGATGGTTGGACGTGCGACGGGTGACCCTTCTCTGAAACGAAACAAGAACTGAACAAACCAATCCCAGGAAGCAGGGAATTGGTTAAGGAGATGTGCAATCAGGTGCACACCTGCCTGCGCCGCAGCAGGAAAACACACGCGCCGGCGGCTTTGATGCCAGAGAGTTTCATTCCACATCGGGCACGCAAATACATCACCCGGCTGCTTGCACTCTTTATACTATACATCAGCACATGTGAAGTGGATATTCTTTCTGGCTAGCGGCTAACTGCATCACCCACCTCCTCCAAGAGCACCAAGCGTCCGCCATCGCCCCAAACCTCGCGCTGGACACCCGTCTTGAGGACACACCTGGGATGTTGCAAAAACATCGGCTGAAACATCTGAGTGAAATTGACCAGGTGTGAAGTTTTGCATGGCGTTTGTTATGGCGTTTGTGCCAGATTTGATGGACCTTGTATGACTTTGTGTTTCAACTCTACCATTCGTGATTCTGTCGCTTCCTTCCCTGCCTCAACGCTCCACCCCACTCAGGCTTCCAAGCAGGGGTATTCCTTGGCAAGCCGATCACTCTTTCTCACATGGATCGAAACCAATTTTCAGGGATGTCTCGCAGATCTGAAAAGCCATAAGAGATTTTTGAGCGCACAGTGCGGATGACTTAACAAAAACGATCTACGAATCAGTGGAATGCTTCTGGTCATCCATCTTGATTCCAGTTCCCGTCCACCCTGGTCCACCTCCGTCCGGTGCCCAAAGGCGATGGACGGTGTCCCGGTTCGCTGCGGAGCGTGTCTTCGGGGCGGTTCGGTTCAACGTGACGCGGTTCGGTTTGGAGCCCAAGGAGAAGAGTACAAAATGATGGAGTACAAAATGGGCTCCACTAGGATTGTTGATTCAAAACGAATCTAGTAACCAGACCAGTCAGACTTGGACCATTTCTCCAGTCATTTGGATGAAGAAGGCCCCACGCCAGGAGTTCCATGTCCAAGCTGCAGGAACAGAAAAGCCACCAGGGAAGCCGATCGGTCCTGAGGCATTCAAAAATAAGTTCCTGCCCTTTATAGTTCCCGCAAATACATATAACATATAATATGTATATAAATAAGTATAAATAAATATATATATATATTATCAGTAGATAAAGTAATCAAAATTGGGGGGGCAGTTCTGCACATCGAAGGCAAACTCTCACTGAGCATGTGTGACACGACCAGCTGCAACCCTCCCCCAAAATGCATGAGAGGAGGATCATGGTGGGATCACTTTGCTTGAAAATAACGGATCTAAAACATAAGGAATGCCGGGCACGTTCCACAGAACTGCGCCGGAACGCTCGTCTCGCGCCTCAAAAGGCTCAGTCCTTTTCCTCTCCGATGGGAGCAACTCTTCATAGGCTCGTCCCAAAGCGGTGGCAGCTCTTTGGCAACCACCGCTGTTTCTTCTCAACCGTTGGGGCTACGGCCAGTGATTACGGCCAGCGGCAAAACCCGACAGATGATCTCAATTAGCCAAAGGTCATCGTGCCAGAGTTGGTCAAGGTGTCAACATCGCCTGAAGGCCCGCAGCTAAAGGTGCAGCTTGGCCCATGTCCCTTTGCACCTTGATTCTCCTGCAAGCTCACTTCGCAATACATGAAACTTCAGGGGTCGTATCATATAAAATATGTTCTTTGAGGGTGGTATGTCACAGACGTGATCCGCGTGCGTCTATCGCAAAAGCTAACCAACTCTTGCTGTTCCTAAAATCTGCAGCCCTGAAATCATCCAAAGAATTCAGCTTAAACAAGCTTTCAGAAACACCTCTTCTCCTTGCAAAACTCACTGATCATGGCTGTATTGCAGCTGGAAACTGCCATGTCCAGGTTGGGGGAATCCCCACCCAGAGTCATTGTGCCGACGTTATCGAGGTCATAGATGTCTCCAGTGGTGCTGCAGCCAAATGTGCAGCTAGGGCCCTTGACCTTGACGCCGTGATGCTCCTGGCTTTGGTGTTCCAAATCGTCCCAAATGTTGGATGTATATAAATGAATATAAATGACATAAACTGAATCAAACTGGAACTGAAGCTGTTAGTTGAAATGCCAGTAGCAGATTTGAGAGAACAAGAAGGCTTTCTGGAGTTCCTGACAGAACTGGGCAAGATCCATCACGTTGCTGCAGTCCGCGACTTCCAGCTGCTGTGGCTGCCCGTTTATGTTCAAGGCCAAGCTTTCTCCCACAAGTGCAGCTACTGAAAGACACCACAACGACACCATGGGGCCCAACTACGACAAAGGGGTGCGGTAGCGAGTGCCCGTCCGCGCTGAACTAGCCAGCTGGCGAAAAGAATTATGTAAGTGTTCTGAGTGACCGGGGAGCTTAGAATCGACTCCTCCTCCTCCTCCTCCTCCTCCTCCTCCTCTGTTCGATGTCTCATTACAGTAGTGGACGCAACTCACTGGTTGTTGGCCATACAGCCATACAGCTATATGATGAAACCAAGTACATGTACAGTGCAGCATGCCCTTCTACATAGTGTATTGACCACTAGAAACAGATGCAGGCCACAGGGGTTCCGATAATCTCCGATAACGTACTTCCATGTCCTTGCAAGATAGATGTGCATCTGGGGCACCGCGCCTCAGTGCAGCCTGGCACAAAGCAAGATGCTGAACCGAAATCGAAGCATCAAAGCCACCTGTCTCTAGCTACCATTAGAATGGTGACATTCTACAATCCGATGGGTGCAGCTGATGACATAGACACTATTGAGTTCATTGCCAAATTTGATTTCCCAATAAGATAGATGCAAAGGAACCATAGTAGAAGTCATGCTTCTTTTGGGGTTGGGGTTCCCACAAAACTTTGACCAAAGCTTTGATTCACTTTGATCCACCACCGGGAACCGGTGCACACCACCGGTAAGTCCGGTCCCGGTTCGCCCGGTCCTGGTGGCATCTCCACCTGAAGCAGCGTGGCGAAAAGCAGATGGCTCGACGGTCTCGAACAACGAAGGATCGGGTTGTTTTTGGGGTTTCCACTCGTTTTGTTTTTGCCGACACCGACGAGGGAGATGGTACCTTTTTTTTTCGATAGATAGGTGGTCAATCCCCATCTATCCAAATGTATGGAAACGGTGCCACGGCGGTCCTGTTTGATTCTACTTGGGGATGATAGATGAAGTGTACCACATGGGATGTCTTGGATACTCCCACACGCACGGGTCCTATCGGGTGTCACAACCGGCTTGCTCCATGGAAAAGGGCTTTCGCTGCGAGTTTGCCAGACCGAGATGTCGATGGAGACACAAGAGAGAAGTTACAAACCACAATACATGTATACCTGAGTACCTGGTAGGCCTCAATACAATAAAGGCAAGTGGTCCTCTTCCGAGTTCCTTTTGCAGTGCTTACGAGAGATTTTGTCAGAAGAGGACCACTTATCTCTATGATTCGGTACCTGCACATCTGCGCTGTTTAAAGTTTGTACAACACTAGCTCAAAAAGCCTGGATGTTCAATGGGGTCATGATGTACAATCACTGAGCCACAAGATCAGGTTTCAGCGCAAAATCCAGTTATCCATAAATGGAACGAATCAAAACAACAGCATATTATATCATACTATGCCTGTCCTGACAACTCTTCAGCCATTTGGCCGTGGGTTCTGGCACCTGGAGCGGAGTTCCACTGCTAGGCTGACCCTACCTCGTCTGAGTCTATTCATCGAGGCGGTGGCCAACCGGTCGGTCTTTTGGGTGCCATGAGCCACGGTCTATCCGGTCTATCATCCTATGACCTGCGCCCCCCGTGGATGATGCGGGCCTGTTGCAGCCTGTTGCAGGCCTTGTCCCAAACATTGGTGATTTGCTTGTGAAACCGGATCAACGTTACAGATTCGGACAGAACAAATCATTTAGATACTATAATATATTATATATATATACCTGGACCCCTGTTTTGGAGGATCAACTGTCCAAAATATGGTACTTTCCTGTCAAAACAGAGGTCGGTCAGGCTCTAGGTATATATACATGGTAACCCCCCCCTGAGATCCACCAAAGACTTTTAGCTCTTCCAGTTTGACGTCTTCGTTCGTGCACTTACACCCCAGCAACAAGCTGGGAGTGTACCAAAGACTTTTAGCTCCACTGGACAGACCCAACATTTATCCTCGTGCAGTCGTGACTGTGGTGGCTTACCCACCAGGCGGACGGGCGGCTGAGAAGGCATCGGGGGGTGGAAACCCCGGGCTGATTGGTTGGGTCACTCAGCCGGCCGACGTGGTTTGGACCCTTGAACAGAGCATTTGTGAGGGCAAGGCCACAACGCCCGGGGCAACCGTCAATGCGGAGTAGCCACAAGTCAAATGACAGCCTGTATCACATGGATGACACGCCATAAATGGACGGCTCTGCTCTGGATCATGACACTGGCCACTTTCAAGAACGCAGCTATCCTCACTTGGGGTTCAGAGTGGGTCCCCATGTCCCAGAAATGTCACTCGATTGGTTGTCCCCAACTGTCCCCATGTCCCACATGTCCTTAAAAACATGTTCTGCCAGACTCTGGCTGCTTAGATCGCTTCTATTTATTACTAGTAACAAGAAGCTATTAGAAACAAGTGCCACGGTAGTAGTAACACGTCTCCAATGCCCGGTGTGTTCCCCGTCTCCGATCTCCCGGTCTTCGCGCCTGCGACGCCGGCTCGGTGGGACCCTGGTCCAAGGTCTTGCCCTGGGATGGCACTCCCAAGTGCTGGTTGATGTGGGCATGGTGAAGTGTGGTCTCCCAGTGGTGGCGGGTCTCTTACAAGGCTGAGAAGCCTTGGTTGCTGAGTCCGAACCCGAGAATGGACCTGCGGAAGACTGAAGATGGACACCTGTAGACTGTAGAGGTATACATATCTATATACTCGGAAAACAATGGGCAGCAACTCAAGCCCAAGAACATGCACGGCGTTACCTTGCCCATCCAGGCATGAATATCTTTGTTCGTTCTTTGAAAGGACATCGAGAAGACAAGTCCAGAGTCAACACCGATTCCGCAGTTGCACGCCCTACTCCCATGGACGTTCACCGACGTGACGCCAGCTAACACCTGCCACCGCATCACGGTAAACCGAAGTGCCTGCGCCGGGCAATGCCAAAGAACCACCTGTGCCGGGCTGAGCAAAGCCATGGAGGCCAATGGTGTTCCATGGATCCTGTTCATCCATCCGTCTACATCTGTGCTCCAACTTCCTCAAAAAAGCACGTAAACGGGAAATCATGGGACACATCACTTTTCACCTGGCTCTTCCCATGAAGACTTTTCTGAAACATTTTTCTTGCTGCGCATCCAAAGTAAAGGGTCACTTCATGTCAGCCGCCATACTCAAACTGTCCAGTGCCATGTCATGCGCCGTGCTCTCGCGAGGTACCGTTTCCCCGACCTCGCCACACCTCCATCCTGGCGCTGCAGAATGGCTTGTTTTGCTGGATAGGAAGATCTGGACTATGGCATTTAGTAGAAGTTTATGCTGAGAGCAGGTGCATAGTACAATCCTTGTCCAAACGCTGCCCTTGTCTATACAACGTGATACAAACAACCTCAAGCATGAATGCTTCCAACCCTGAACATCCCATTGGCTTCAATCATTCAATGTCAAATCCAGTGAACAAACCACATGCCAGGCAAACGGAGTCCGCGGAATCCCTGGTGCCAGGCACGGGTCCGGCACGGGTCGCAGTGTGTGAACATGCAACCCTTGGGTTCGATCGTACGAAGACCGTCTTGAGATATCGAGATACAAGAGAACTGTCGATCTCGCAATTCGATACAGCTGTCGGCGTATGATGGCTTATGGGTACAAGAAAGAACGATGGCTTATGGGTACAAGAAAGAACGAAAGCCTAGTCTCGACCAGGCTACACATTTCCTGAGGTGCTATTTACATGGTGCTAGATGACAACATCAAACATGTTGCAGGCTAGACTGTCAACGTGACGCCCAGGCTTCCCATGTGACGCCCAGGCTCGCCTGAGAGCCCCAGCTCTGGTCACTGAGACACCACTGGAGCTGCTGAAGCCTCGACTCTGGACGAGCCATGTCAGAATGGCAGGTCTTGGTCGTTTGGGTCACCAGGTTAGGCCAAGCCGGATTCGCAACGCAGTCTCCATTCTTGGCGTTTCTTTTCTCCTGATCAATACCGCCACAAGCTTTTGAGCAAGTGTAGTCCCAATGTGTCGTAGTGTCGCCTTCTGTCTTTCAAAAAGTATATCTGGTCGCCCTTGCCTTACAGTGAGTTACCCAAGTTCGTACATATTCGAGCTCTTCCAGGTTTCTCACACAGCCACGGCAGTGGCTAATGCTTGGCAGCCTGCGTCCTGGGAAGGGGACGCCAGTGACAACTGGTCAGACCATCCAGGTGAATTGATGATATTTGAACCGCCAGACCACCAGGAGTGATAGGGATTGTAAAGCCAGTGAAACCCAAATGTGTGAGCGACATTGAGCGACCATCCATCCGTGAAACGATCCAAACCGCCGACGCGACGCAACCGTGTCAGGAATCGACTCACGGGAAAGAGTTCTCTCCATGAGGAGTGGAGGATTCACTGTCATCGTCAATAAACATGTGGGACGTGCCAAAGGAATAGAGTATTTATTGAGAAAACTACCTGATTCCCCTCCGACTTCACTGCCTTTGATAGGCCGTGACGGACACGGACCACAAGTCGCGCTATCGAGAAAACTGTTTTGGATATGTGTGAGAATAGCTGTAATCACAAACAATCGACAAAACAGAAGCTTTGGGATTGACGATCCTGGAGATGATACTCCTTCGCATCTCAACGGACCACAGGTGGACCTGTTCCCAAGGCTCTGTGTATATCCAAAGTCTAGAAGTCCTTAATCTTCATGACTCATACTGTATCACATGAATCATATTGAATCATCAAAAATTGAGAAAAACGGCTTCATTTTTGTCAATGTTTTCTTTTTTTCCATCGGAACATCAAGTCCGTATTCTGTTATTCCTTGCAGTTTTCCATCATTCACCTGCCGATGTTTCGACGACTCGCTTCTTCGAAGCCTCCAACTGTGCTTCCCACAGCTCCAGCCAACCTGGCTCAGTCCAGAGTTTCTTGATGTTTCTTGTTCTTTGTTTCTTGGAACGCCCTCGACAGGAACCAGGAACGCTTTTTCGGACTTGCTCGACTCACCCAGGACGAGGCACCCCCCACCCACGGGTTACGCGTCCCCAGGACCCACGGAACATTCGATAGATTGGAGGCCTCCCAGCTTCAGGAGAGCTTAGCTGTTTTCATCGTGGGATATCCAGAAGTATTCCGCACCAACATCCATCCATTGCACTAGTCCAACAAGCCTCAAGTTTGGCTCCTTTTTATGAAAAAGTACACCGTGCAAGACCCTATGGCTCATGTCAGAACCACAAATGTACACACTCCAACAGCTGTTCGAACAGATTCCAACTGTTTCAACATTCCTTGAGACCAGCCGTGGCCGCCAAAGGCCACGGTTTCCACCCGAAACGCTCTTGAATCCATGAAAGGTTGACGAGTCTGCCCTGCTGTAGCCGCTTGAAACTCTTCCTGGATGCGAAAGGCACCGGCCAAGGCAACACGGTGTTCCTCCAACCGTTTTGCTTCGTCTTTTGACGTCTTTTGGTTACAGTATTTAGTTGAAGTCTGTCGCTAATTGACGTCTTTATGCCCAACCAACTTGGCTAACGAACGCAAGTGATCTGCAGGAAACTCTGCGTCAACCAGGAAGTTCTTGGTTGTGATCCATTTTTTGGTAGGGGCGCCAAAATAAGCAAACCCATCAAAAATTTGTCCCAAAAACAAATAATCCCGGCAAGAGACCCCAAACAGTGTGGAGTGTGTATCATCCGCAGTCATCACAGAAAGTGGCAGGAGGAGGTGAAGCACCCGCGAGCACGAAGGAGGAGAAAGTAGAAGTGCATGGAAGTAGGGAGAGTAGCACCCGCGAGCACGAAGTAGAAGGTGAATTGTCAAATCGAACAAACAGAAGCTGCAAAACGAAAGCCAGCGCTTCCCTTTCTCGAGAACTGCGCGTCGAAGCATAGGATAGAAAGGTAGGTCTGCACCCCAGATCCACCATCCCACTCCATTTTCTTTCATTTCTCTACGGCAGCTCCGCTTGGCATTTGCCAGGTGGAGGCGGCCGTGAGACCTCTTACACACCTACACAAGTTCAAAGCACGAATGAGACTTCAAAGCTGTGGATTGCTGTGCGTGTGTAGAGGCTATCGAGCGGTTGACGGAAAGGGAACTTGAAGTACTATACCTGGTAGCTGCAAGCAAGGTGCCAACTACACCTTTATTTTCAAGGTGGCCTGAACAGAGTGTTTCAGGGCAGTAAACCGTGGTCTCAGGCCAATTTAGCTTGAAAACCACAGCTACATAGCTACCCTGGGTCTCTATACCTGGCAAGGTGCCAACTACACCTTTATTTTCAAGGTGGCCTGCACAGAGTGTTTTAGGGCAGCAAACCCTGGTCTCAGGCCACCTTGAATTTAGCTTCAAAACCACAGCTTTGAAGCCTCATGCGCGCCATACCTGGGAACAGAATTGTAGCTACAAGACCTTTATTTTCAAGGTGGCCTGAACAGAGTGTTTTAGGGCAGCAAACCCTGGTCTCAGGCCACCTTGAATTTAGCTTGAAAACCACAGCTTTGAAGCCTCATGCGCGCCATACCCGGGAACAGAACTGTAGCTACTTGTAGCTACCCTGGGTCCGTATAAATAGTATGTTGCTATACCTCTTACACACCTATACAAGTTCAAAGCACGAATGAGACTTCAAAGCTGTGGATTGCTGTGCGTGTGTAGAGGTTCTCAAGCGGTTGACGGAAAGGGAACTTGAAGTACTATACCTGGTAGCTGCACTATAGCTACCCTAGGTCTCTATACCTTGCAAGGTGCCAACTACACCTTTCCATTCAGATGATGCAAATGAAGCATTTGGCATTTCTTGCATCACCACCCCTCAAAAATCACCTCCAACACAACCTCAAAAAACCTTCCGTATACCTTTCTCGGGCCACCCCCCCAGACCCCCTAACTACTCACTTCGTTCGCCAGACACAACTCCGCTAGCGCCTTCTACGAAGGCTGGCTTTCGTAACAAACAGTTCGAACAGAAAACTGAAATGTCCAAAGAAAGAGAAAATCATTGTCCAAGGCGGAAAGGTCCAATGTCAAAGTAGAAATTGAAAGGCAGCAGTCGTCAAGCGCACTTTTTGCCTTGAGTAGAGCAGGCAGGAGCACAATGTGTCGTGGAATCGCAGACAGAGCATAGAAATGCTCACAGGAGACACCTTGGTTCTTCCACTGCGTCGCGGAATCGCAGACGGAGTGCGTTTCTATAGCAAAGTGTCGTGTAGCCGCAGACGGGAGGAGACTCTGTCACGGAGCCGCAGACAGAGTGCTCGCTGTAGGAAACGGTCGCGGAGTCGCAGACGAAAAAGTGTCGCGGAGCCGCGGACACCTCAGGAGACAACGGTCGCGGAGTCGCAGACCGTCGGTTGCAGTGGATGCAAGTCGAGCGTGGGGTGGAACTAAACCAGGTGCGCTGGATACAAGAATAGCTAGGCGTACCGCGCCAGATCGCTCTCGAAACAAAAGCCTAAAGAAGAGCACACACATGAGAACAAGCTTGAGTTTCAGAGGTCTACAGAAGTCTAAAGAGCACGCGTCTGAGAGCACAGTCACCAGACCACGCAGAATATGAGCGTGAGTGAGAATGAGCAGCCATGTGAGTGAGAGTGAGCGTGGGCGTTCCGAGCGCGAGTGAGAGCGAGCGAGTCAGAGTGAGGTGGACGTGGTCAGTGTAAGAAGACAGAGGTCAGATCTGGCTTGCAAGGTAGACGATCGCACATCTGAGAACACAGTCACCAGAGCACGCAGCAAGTGAGCGAATCAGTGAGCGAGTGAGGATGAGTAAGAGTGTGACAGTGAATGCGAGCGTGAGTGAAAGGAAGAATGCTTGTGAATGAGAGTGAGTTATGAGTGCGAATGAGAGAGCAGAAGACCAAGGAGAGCACACCTCTGAGAACACAGTCACCAGAGCATACATCAAGGTAGTGAATGAGTGAACCTTGCCCAAAGTGCCGAGCGCGCCTGGGTGGAACCACGCCAGGAGACAAGAGGTCTAGGCGTCTAGGAGTGTGGATCACCAGACAGAGATCCAGAGAGCACACATCTGAGAGCACAGTCACCAGAGCACGCATCAAGTGAGCAAATTCACACAATACGGCGCCTGTCACGAACTCACGAACTCTGCAAAGTGCTGCGCCTGCCACGAAATCTGCAGCTCGAGGTTCACCAAGTGCTGTGCCTGCCACGAAGCCTACACTTCGAAGTTCACCAAGTGCTGTGCCTGCCGCGAAATCTGCACCTCGAGGTTCACCAAGTGCAGTGCCTGCCACACGAAATCTGCACTTCGAGGTTCACCAGTGCTGTGCCTGCCACGAAATCTGCACTTCGAGGTTCACCAAGTGCTGTGCCTGCCACGAAATCTGCACTTCGAGGTTCACCAAGTGCTGTGCCTGCCACGAAATCTGCACTTCGAGGTTCACCAAGTGCTGCGCCTGCCACGAAATCTGCAAACGAGCCACATGTCCAAAAGTCACAATTCACTGCACCTGTCACGAAATCAGAGCTCTTCGACGATCACCACCATGTCCAAAATGCTGCACCTGCCACGAAAACTGCACTTCGATTTAAAACAGCTCCGATCCCTTGCACTTGTCACGAAAAGTCGACTTTGGAGCACCAAAGCACGAGGTTTCCTTTGCACCTGCCACGAAAAAAGACCACCATGTACCAAAATGCGCACGGCGCCACAACGAGAGCGCAGTCGCTAGAAGCACCCGCCGCCGGCCCCCAGACTTTGTGAGCCTGCGCAGTGGAAGTGCACATGGACGATGTCGCGAGTCATGAATGTACTGTAAATAGCAATGAATTAGCCGTTCACGCTGGCGCGCTTCAGCGATCTAAGCATCAGCTGCCTTTCCCTTACCGTAAGAACCCCTCAGTGTGCCCACACTGTTTGGGGGAACAACAAGGGAGAACCGTGAAGCCAAAGCTATTTTCTTTTTTTTTGAATCATTTCTCTTGAATGCCTGACTTACATTGACTTACTCTCTGGTTTTCGACCTCTCTCGCTCGTTTTATGTCTTGTTCATTTCTTCTTTGATCCAAACTTGTATTGAATCCTTGAATGTCGCACCCTTGAACAGCGACTGCTAAGCTTCGACCATCCCAATTGCCTCGACAAGGACCCGGGCAACCTGCAATTGGAGAAACAAGGCTCTCATGGCAGGATTGGTTGGTACTCAATACGTTCCTTGGACTCTCTGGCAAGGAGAACAATTGACTGCATCTGCTCCAAATTGAATGATATTGAAAGGCTACTTTACATAACACCAAGCCATGGCATCATCTGAGTATTCCAGTATATGGCACCTATTTCACTGGCATTTTTGGCAGCAAAAAGGAGAACAACCGTAGGGAACAACCGTAGGAAGCACGGAAATCCAAGCAAACATGTATGCACAAACGCCAAGCTTCATGAGAACAAAACGCAATTGCGAAGGTAGACCTAGTGTAAGTCCTCTGTTCAATGAGTGTCTGGACGAACCCAACATGCACTACAAGTAGGAAGAATAATGCATGTAAATGCACAATCAACTTGATTGTAGTTGATAATGCAATGCACATACTATCCTGGATCATCTTCAAGTTACTTCACTTGCCACTTGCTCAGCTTCGACTCAACCAAGGCTAGGATATCCAGAATGCCTCGACTCATCCAGCCGTGCGAAAACACGCTGCTTGGCTTTCCGAAACCTTTATGAAAACGCGTTCAGGAACTTGTGGGGCACAGGCCACAGGTCTTTCTGTTGGTCGCCTGCTTGGGTGCCTGTATTGCGTACTGTACTGGTGCCTCTCTGTGTATAGGAAGCTCGTTTCACAGTCAAGCTGTTCTCCCTGTAGGGTCCAGTGCGCTGGGTTGGTGACCTGGGGGCTAAATCAATAAGACTCAGACTTTGATTTCACAATGCGAGCGAAGAGTGCGTGAATTGCCGTGTGGAAAATGGAGACCTGCCAGCCCAAACCAAACCAAACCATATTTTTTATAGAATGCTACACACCACCGGAGCACTGTTGCGCTGTTTCGTCGACCTACTGGCCGTCACGTGACGGCCTCCGACTGGAGCTTCAAGAGCAGCGACCAGTCCAAAACATCCTCGCCACAGGGCACGTTTCGGGTGGCACACCGAAGTGCCATCAGCTTGCAGGTGACGCACATGAGACTGGTCCCTTTATGCAAGCCTTGACAAGTTGGAGATCTAAGCAGACATTGACAGCTTGCAGGAAAACACGAGTTGGCATGGCGGTGAACTTGTTGTTCTTTTTACATCCAGAAGGGCAGTGGTAGAAGCGTTGACTAAGACTAAGTGGTTTCCTGAAAACTGCTCTCTGATATTTACAGGCAGAACGTGTAAAGAACACCTGCAATTCGCAGTTCGAAGCTGCCAAGAGGTTCCCCCCAGCTTTTGCGGCGCACCAGCGGGACGGAGGGTCTCGAAGTAGTTATTTCTTTAATGAAACATGGACCCATCCATCAACCCAGCAATCCCATCATGCTGAACAAACATCGTCAGTCAGCTACCATGACTTGGCCTCTGAAAACTGGATACCCTGAAACACTCAAGTGGCTTTCCAGCAGGATTCACCAGTTCTGTGGTACAACAAGCGATTCCCCCGGTTCTGGCTGATGCCAGACCCCTGGCATCCAATGCATCACACCCGTCCTCAGAGATGGCCCAGCCGCCCTGACAGGAAAATAACAACACAGTTCAGTGAACCAAACCAAATGTATATACTGATCCATAAAATAAATCCAATACATGTGAGATTTTGATCCCACATATCTGTTGGGCATAGGTTTGGAAGATCGAATCCAACACCTCTCTCAATGGGGAACCCTTGCTCAACAAACACCTCTGCGTATGATTGTCCATCTTGCGCACCATGCTGCATGAACCTATGTCCAAGACATGTATCCGGATGAAGCTCGCTACACCAGCTCGTGCTCTTTCAATACAAGCATAGAGCGAACTCGTTGAACCGTCCTGGACAAACATCTTCCCAAATGAAATCCGTCTTGGCTCTTCAAAAGAACACCGGAGTGGTCTAAATCATGAATGAACCATCATGAACCATCTCTTTGTCCCACACGTATCATCAGGGTGCTTACGGGTCCCGGGCGTGACTCCTCTCCGCCACCGGTGTTCTCTCTCGGCCTCCCGGAGGCTCCGGCGAAAGGCACGGGAGATGGTGCCAGTGCCGCTCCAAAGACTCCTGTGACGAACGGTGCGACGGTTCGGTCAGTGGTTCTGCTGCCGAACAGCGAGTCAGGTTTGGACGTTGGGTGCGGGACCTCGCGCGTGCGAGAAAGACCCGATATCAATGGCAAAAAAGTGGCAACAGCTTGGGGTGAAGAATGGGTTGGCTACGGTGAAAGGCCAATGGATGCGGTGTGAGTCACAGTCTGTGATTGAACGGACTTGATCGTAAAGAAGATGAACGAATAAGGCAAAGGTGCGTGGAGAGAAGGAGATTTGATAGCCCCCGCTTCCATTAGAGCTCCCTCAAAGAGAGATTCGTCCCATGTTCACCATTACTCGTACTTTGGATTTTGCTTAGGTCACTTTGCACATCTTCCCTCTTCAATTGCGTCAATACACATGGAGATGGCCTGGCAAGCTGGTAACACCCATCAGCTTGGCTCCCTGAGGCAAAGCCTCCTTGGATACCTCCTTGGATATACTCTGATGACCAAGTTCTATATATATATCCGCCGACCCCTTGCGACTGCAAGGGGAGCGCGTGAGAGAAGGTACGAGTGCTCAGGGTGTGGAGGGTTCGAGCATGGTCTTGCTGTGTGGGGGCGAACGGAGCGGCCCCGGAGATGGCGCCCCAGCTGCTTCAAAATGTGTTTTTACGGGATCCGAAAGCGACGTTAGACATCTGGGCCTGCCCTTCAAACCCCTCAAACCCCTCAAATCCCTCAAAAGCCTCGAAACTTGCCAGAAGGGGCTTGCTCGAGGCTGCTTCAAAATGTGTTTTTGTATCTCCCCTGCATTAGGTAGGGGGCGGGGTGAGGGCCCCCCTTGATTAATTTACTTTTTTAATTAGGGAGGGCCTTCTAAATAATCCAACCACTGCCAAGTGGAAGATTAAAATAGATAAGAAAATTAATCAGGAATGACTGTGAGGCAGGCCGAGTTCTCAGTTAATTAATCTAGGTGACCTGTGAGTTCAAATTAAAAAAACACTGAGATGTCAACCACCATACGAATAATTTCTGAATTCTGAAAATGCAGAGTGCACACAAGCAGCTTCTTCTTACCTGCCACATCTACTGGTTTCCATATCTGTATTTACCTGAACTCTGTATTTCATTGTATTTCTGTCATGTTTCATTCGTTCTTTCAATCGCTGAGTTCCTCCCTGCTAAAGGATGCGTTGTGCGCAAACACATGCAAAATCTCAATCACATCTCTCTGTTTACTTTGCGACATCTGAATCACAAGCCTTGCACACATTGTGTACAGCATCTAAATCACAAGCTGGAGCTAGTATAATTAGTATACACATATTTAATCAATGGGTGGTAGACATGTTCCTCACCACCTGTTTTATTTGCACCCCCCCCCCAAATCAAAAAATTAATTCCAGTGACCTTGACCTAGGAAGCAAGAAATGAATTCCAGGTCAATTAATATCTGGCGCCTTGCTAGGGGTACCCCTCTGAGTATTCACCCAACTTCTAGAAATTAATCCAAAAAAATTATTAAAGATCTCAGTAGGAGACCTTGATTAATTTCCTAAGGCTGGGTAGATGTTTTTGTTTTTTTACGGGATCCGAAAGCGACGTTAGACATCTGGGCCTGCCCTTCAAACCCCTCAAATCCCTCAATCCCTCTCCCTCAAAATCCCTCTCCCTCCAAAGCCTCGAAACTTGCCAGAAGGGGCTTGCTCGAGGCTGCTTCAAAATGTTTTTTTACGGGATCCGAAAGCGACGTTAGATATCTGGACCTGCCCTTCAAACCCCTCAAACCCCTCAAATCCT